GCCAGTGTTATGATTAAGCAGTGAAATAGAGGTAAGAGTCCAGTGGACTCATAATGGTGTCACCCGAGCGTGATTAATCAGTGGATTGCTAATAGCATCTGTTTTTTGTTCCCACTGTGTGTCCTTAAATTAAGCCCCATAGTTGATGTCTAATTTACTTATTAGACCTTCTTGAGTTGTTTGCAGCACTTCAGGTATATTTTAAAATGTTTCCAAGAATATTTGAAGCAAGTTTTGAAACTGCACCTTTTAGGAGCAGGATTTAATTAAGAAGGTTTGTTAGTTAGATCAATTCAGTTACAAAGGCTAACGTATTCAGGAGGACCAGGATGGAAAAGCTCCCTTCTGATGCGATGTTTTGACATTGAGGGTCAGAGTCTCGATTACACAACAGTTTTCATGGGGCTCACAGTGACAAGGGGGTGTGATTGTGAAACATTCCTACTCTGGGAGGTCAACTTGTTGTACGTAAACAATTAAAAGTATGGCTTTTAATGAAAGAGAAGGTTCATTTGCGTACTGTGATTGAGCTGCTTCTCCATTGAATGGGGAAGCTGAAATTTTCAATAGGATGTTGCAGGCATTTGTCTTTTAAATATAGCTTCTGTGTTAGGATTGCTGGTGTGTGTGGCATGGAACACGTTGAACCTTGAATGTAGTGTGATAAAGTGACTCACTCAGCCCTCTCATTTTAATGGAATCATCCTGCGCTTCTGTCCATATTATTGTGAGTTACTGTGGTACAGCACAGACCCCGTTCACATTTCATGCAAAAAACGTGAACAGAGGCAATCTCTTTTATCTGATCCCCCAGCTTGTGTCTCTTAAGTGTGGGTCGATGTTAAGATGTAGCTCCTATATGAACTTGGGGTTGTAGACCTCAGGCTTCTCTGAAAACCTCAGACTCCTGTGAGTGAGATTTCTCTACCTTCTCACTTAAGACGAACGCCCTACTGAGTGTCCAGCAACCAACAAAAAAACAGTGGATCTGAATACATTACACTGACATTTAAACACGGGAAAAATCCAGGGATCTCACATTCTCTCATTTCTGTTTTTTTTTTTTTTTTGGCGCTTGGCCATATTGATCTGCTCGAGCTTTATTGTAGGTTTTGTCCTGCTTGGCTCTTCTGGCACAGAATTGAGGGAGAGAGCCATGTTAGCTGTGAGCTAAAAATGAGATCCTCTCGGAGGGTGGGACAGAAAGAGAGGGGAGAGCGAGAGGAACCGGCTGGGAGCCTGTGCCGTAGCACGTCGAGACAGGCCCTCCCTGGCAGGATTCAGGAGCATGGAGGAAGCCTGTGCATGAGCGTCTTTTTAGTGTAAACACTGTTTGCACTCCTCGGACGTTTCTTTCCTGTGCGCTAACACGGACACCTGCGGTTTCAGTCCTGCGGAGTGCTTTCTTATTTCAGCAGTTAGCCGGCATAGAAGATTTTTTTAAATCTTCCGAGCATGGTGTCCAAGTGGCTGATGCACAGTTCAGAAAGTGCAGGTGAGGTTGGATAAGCAATGAAGGAGACCAGGGTTGGGAGAACTCCTGGCTAAATATTGACATTAGAGCAGTTATAAACAAGAAGAGGTCATGTGGACCATCTAGCCTGCTGGGTATTTAGTAGTTAACTGATCCCAGGATGTTATCCAGCCATGTCTTGACAGAAGCCAGGGTATCTGCTTCAACAACATGGCTGGGCAACTTGTTCCACCCTTTCACCAGCACACATTTTTTGCATAAAAAGTGCCTCCTTTTCTCAGTTTTAAGAAAACACGACGTTCCTCTGAAGGTCAGTATTGGAGTGACCGTTGCCACTGTAAGAATGACACCTCTTGTGCTCTGCCGTTTTTGTGTTGTTGCAAGTGGAAATTGTAGCGCTGCCGTTTCTGTTGTAAGGAAGTCAGATTTGTGAGTTTGTTCGTACTTGCCAGTTGATACTGGGAAACAGCAGGTCTGCTTATTAAATGGATTCTCAGGGAAGCAAAGTGAGTTGTGCAAACTAAGATATATGTGGTGATTTGACTAGGAAATAAAAACATTGGCAGGAAAGTCATTGTGCGCAGTATTTCAAAGTAAATGTAGAACTGACATTTTAAATGCCTGTAAATATATTTTTCAGAAGCTTCCACAAATGGTAGG